TTTAAAGAACCATCCACTGTGAGGTTCTTCAGTGATTCTTCTTTCGTTGTGTTGGCTGAGCAACTTGTGTCTGATTGGTCAAACAGCTCTACACTCTTAAAAATGATGGTTCTTTAAGGGTTCTTTAGTGACGAAAATGATTTTATTTTGAGCCAAGGACATTCAAAGAACTCTTTACATGATTAAAGTGTTCTTTGTATTATTAAATGGTTCTTCAGATTGATGGAGAATGTGCTGTAGATGAAAAGGGTTCTTCTATTATTACAGGGTCAAGGCTGTAACAATAGAGGAACCCTTTTTGGTGCTATATCGAGGCCTTTTCAAAAATGTTCTATATGGAACCATATGAAACACTTATAAGTGGTTATTTCGTCATTGACCAAATGACTCGCATCTACCTACTCTCTCATAAAATACGCTTCTTCAAGGGTTCTTAAGTTAAATGAATGGTTCTATTTAGGACCATGAGTTCTGTGTAGAACCATTTAATGTGTAAATCGTTCCTTGCATGGTGAAATGGTTCTTCAGATTGATAGAGAATGTGTTGTATTTGGTTCTATAAAGAACCTTTTTGAAAATGGTTCTATACAGCACCAAACAGGGTTCTTCTATTGCTGAGAGGTTGAGTGTGTAATGACAGAACTTTTTGGTGCTTTATAGAACCATTTTCATATGGTTGAAAATATTTTGAATGACACATTCTCCATCAATCTGAAGAACCATTACCCCATGCAAAGAACAATTTAAGCATGAAATGGTTCTAGATAGATCTGATGGTTCTAAATAGAACCAATTCCTTTACTAAAGAACATCTTTTTTAAGAGTGTAGGGCCATCATAATACCAGAATTTTGATTTTGATACTAAGTGTTAGGGGTGGGAATCTTTAGGCACCTCACGATTCGATTCGATTACGGTTCAGAGGGCTGCGATGCGATTATAAAACGATTATCGATGCATCTCGATGCATCTTTTTTCTCTATACATGATTTCTATCTTCCTACTGTCTGAGGACTTGGTAGTTTTAAAACAAAGTATTTGTAATAATCCATAATGTAAATGCATTACGGATCATTACAAATACTTTGCTTTAATTATCTAAAATATCTTTTATTAATAAATCAAATGGAGGTGATGTGGCAAGTGAACTAGAAGGCTCTCATTCAGAGACGCTGCTGCCACTCATCTGCGATAAAATGTGCTGTTACCCTGAAATAAGATCCAGTGGTAATGGGTGTCCACGCAGCGCGTTACAGCCACCCTTTTGGTCTCGTTGTAGAGAGTCGGGGGGTATTTTCGAGACTGGATACTAAATCTCGGCTCCAAAGTGTGCAGCATAGCGCGAAAGCCCTGGTTCTCAACGACTGAGAACAGACAGCAGACAGCAGGTCACATAGCCCCGAACATTTTGTGACAAAGAAGAATTTTCACATTTTTACAGCTTGATTTACACGTCCGTTCTTTAACTCAGTCTCTCTTTTATCAATAGAAACACAACCAAATGCAGGCAACCTTGAAAGTATAGAGTATTGAGCTGTTTGCCAAACTACAATATTGAAAAAGTTTTGAACTTTCAACAAAGCAATGGAGAAGCTAATAAAGTGTCAGGTTGTTATAGAACGCCACAGAAGAATGGTGGAGGAATAAGATGGGAAAGAGGCGTGGGCAGCTAAAACAGCCCCAAAACAATATGCAAAGTAGTTACATTCACTGCATAGATAGTTAACCAAGTCGAGTTATTACTGTTTATTTTACAGTTTTTCACTGTAAAAAATGGCTCACCAGATCAACTTAAAACATTACTTCATGTGGTAACGAAGTTTTATTCAACAAAAATATTACACTGATTGAAAGAATCATTCATTAAAAGTATTTATTTAGGTTGAATAAAACTAGTTAATTTACTTGTTACAACATGAAGTATTTTTTTCAGTAGATCTGATGAGACATTTTTTTTCAGTGTATGCTCTTTTACTGCATTCTGTGAACCTGTAGTTCCAGACTCTAATCTGAGAATTTATAACCCCTTCGATCATTTAACACATTTGAATATTGGAGTTTAGTCCAGGCCTGGCAGCCACTGAGCTCAAGTACAGTGCAATTGATGAGGTGATTACTGACAACACTGGCGTTTTTATATATTACAGCTGAATAAGGGAGCTGTGGACCTGCTGTGACGCCAACACACCCTGACCTCATTAACCTCCCAAGAACTCAGAAAAAAAAAGAAGAAACGTGAACAAAAAAAAGTAGAAAAAGGAGAAATTCCTCTGGAGTAATGTTACTGTACAAGCTAGACTGGTCCTACGGGTCATTAATGGGCAGTTCTGAATCCATGTTTGCAGCAGTTCAGGGAAAATAAATGATAACAATCACCTGAGTTGCTTTGTAATGGATATGGACATGCAGGTCTATGGATTACTTACAGTAGTGCTGTGTAAAAGTTTGGGACTGTCCTCCACTTAATTAACTTCCAGTCAAATAGACCGAAGTTATTTTTCAGCATCAGGAAAAAAGCCAAAAATTACACAGAAGCCTCAACAGCTCAATATAATTTGTCAGTGTTTATCTTTATTCCAGCTTCCATTCTTTTCATGAGACTCACTTCCAGTTTTTCAAAGAAATCTGCAGACACACCTCCAAAATTCTCATGATCCAAGTAACCCCTCATTCTTTGATGTTCAGGTCTGCACTCTGGGGTGGTCAGTCCATTGTTCTGAGATTACCAGCAGCTTCTTTGTTTGATGTGTGTTTCCATGGAGCTTGATTTTCTCCTCTCTCTCAAAGATGAAGGCTTTAAGTGCTGTTTATCTGATGGGGAAGTGCTGGTGGTCTGTCAGGTCTTCCAGGTGGTTGTCAGGAGTCACATTTTCTCTGTAGCTTTTAATCATTTTTTAAACTCCAGTTCTGCTGTTCTTTCACTTCGACTTTCTCCTTCTTTATGCAAGTGGATTATTGTTTATGTAACTTTCTGGCTGCTGCTACTGATTTTATGCAGCTTTTGTCCATGTTAGAAACCACAAGAGCAAGTTTATTAGAGATGACTTTACAACTCTACTCAGAAAGCTTAACTATACAGGATGTACTTATAAAAAAATTAGAAAATAACTCAAGTAATTTGACAAAACTGGTATGGCCTCTTATTCAAAATTCCTGTTGCACCTTAAATGATGCAGCAGTTACACACACACACACACACACACACACACACACATATATCTACATCTATATATATATATATATATATATATATATATATATATATATTCTTAACCTTTGATGTAAGCTAATGTAAAGAGGTTTAATTCCATTTTGGAGCATTTCTATTGGTTCATTCATCATAAAATTTTGACACAATGTACAAGAACAGCTGTGCTCAAATGGTGCAGAAAAATAAAAATTGATACATATTTTTCTTTGGGCAGCGATGATATATCGCTGCTCTCGGAACAAAACCATGTATCTCCATTTTTGTTGTTTTTCAGGTTCTGACATAATTTGGAAACATCTGTTGTCCTTTACATTGTGTGTAAATTTCATGATGAACAGACCAAAAAAAAATGGAATAAAATTACTTTGAAAAAAAGTCTGGTTACACTGACTTCCATTCAAAGTAAAGTGTGTTTTTTCTGTCTCCTGTAAAGTTGCCGTGTTGGAGATATGAAGTTTCTGACCGTCAGAAATTGTAACATTTTCAGTCCAAGTGTGTGTTCCCTGTAAACGTGTCTAAGGGTGTGTCTGGTAACCTTACCCCCGCAGACCTCTGTGAGATTCATGACTACGTGAGGGAGAAACAAAGTTTAGATTTCAGTCACTTACCTTAAAGACACCTGAAGGTGCTGAGTCAAATGAATAGCAAGTGCATTATTTGAGATTTATTATTATTATTAGTGCAGTTAAGTTCACAGGTAAGATTAATCAGAGGCACACTGATCACACACAGGAAGGATCTGTCAGATAAGTCAGTGACCTGTGGTAGAAGTCTCAAAGATCTAGAGAGCTGTTGATTGTGGCTGTTACCTAAGAGATGTAATAAAAATAATAAATGTCTGGGACGAAGTTTTAGCTCTTTAAAAGTTTAATGATTGTTAAAAGACACACATCCTACATTTTCAGTGTCTTTTATTTTGCCCACTTGCAGCATCTGTGTGGGCTTATATACCAAAAGCAGTCATGGTTAAAACGACTCACTTTGTATCCCTTATGATTTAACAGGCTGTTTTGTGTTGCTGATATATCATCACTGTCGAGTAAAAACGCTGCATCTCCACTCTTGTAGGTTTTTTTATGCATAATTTATAAACTCCAGTTACTCTTTGCATTGTATTACAATTTCATGCCAAAGAGACCAACAGAAATGGTCCGAAATTCTTTGGAAAAAATTATATTACATTAACATTCATTGCAAGTTAAGACAGGTTTTTCTGTGTTGTGTAAAGTTACAGTTTTGGAGATACAAGGTTTTGTTCCAAAGATATATAAATATATATGTAAATGAGCTCTGTTCTGATTAGTTGTATTGCGCCTCATGCAAAGCAGGCAGGGCTGAAACACCCCTTATAACTTCAACATGAAGGTGCAGGGCTAAGCTGCTGCAGGCCTAATAGAGGGGTATATGTAAATGTTTCAAGGAAAACTAGCATTTTTTAGAGCATGTAAACAAATAAACAAACAAATAAATAAATGAAATAAATACAAAAAATGGAGATGGAGTCCTGACAGCATGATATGCTAATCATTAACGTTCGTAATTAATAATGGTACAGTGTAATAATAGTATAATAATATGAATTACTGTTTGTTCTTTATTTATTCATATAATTATAATTATAATATATGTGACTTATTATTAATAATAAAACATGCTTAATAATGTTATTTTAAATTCAACATTGACACATTATATCCATAGCAACCAACCCCTCCGTAGCGCCGCCCCCTCTGTCTTACCTGCCGCAGGTGCTACCGGAGCTGAACTCTGAATGGATGGACAGAGGAGGGGCGGTGGAGGGGGAGGGGGAGCGAACCGAAGGCTTTTAAACGGACCGAGGGCTGACAAACAAGCATCGCGCGCTGTTTTCCCCTCCGCGAGTGCGCGCACTGTAGACCTCCCTGAGAGAGAGAGAGAGAGAGAGAGAGAGAGAGAGAGAGACAGAGAGAGACAGAGAGAGAGAATGGGTCGCTACACGGGCAAAACCTGCCGCCTGATCTTCATGCTGGTGATCACCGTGGTGTTCTTCGTGGCCGAGATTGTGGCGGGCTACGCGGGGAACTCCATCGCGCTGGTCTCGGACTCCTTCAACATGCTGTCCGACATGGTGTCGCTCTGTGTGGGGCTGCTGTCCGCCCGCCTGTCGCGCCGCAGCGGCTCGGAGCGCTGCTCCTACGGCCTGGCCAGGGTGGAGGTGGTGGGCGCGCTCTCCAACGCCGTCTTCCTGACCGCCCTCCTCTTCTCCATCTCGGCCGAGGCCATCAAGAGGCTCAGCCGACCAGAGCCCATCGACGACCCTTTCCTGGTGCTGGTGGTCGGCTCGCTGGGGCTGGCGGTCAACGTGGTGGGGCTTTTCATCTTCCAGGACTGCCGGTGGTTGTGCGGGAGAGGCCAGCGTGGAGCAGCCGAGGAGAAGAGCGATGAGAAAGTGGTCATGAACGGAGAAGCAGGTGCTCATATTTTCGCAACGGTTGCTGCTTTTTCGCTTCTATAGAGGCAGAGATAAGCGGGACTCGGTAGCGCGAGGAACAAACGAGCGTTAAACTCTTTTATCCGCACAGAAAGTGCGTTACTTTTGATTTTCCCACCCATATTCCGGCGAGCCGCTCTTGAGCGCTTTGTGATTGGCTAGTGGCTCCTGCTCACGAGCAGTTCTAGCCAATCATAGCACAGCAAAGTCGAGGCTGTCGCAATACGGGTGGGATAAAAACGTGTCCGAGTTGCGGTTTGCGTGAGTCAGCGATTTTTCCTTCGTTATTGACTCTTTTCGACAGTAATGTGGAGCCCGTTCCGCCAGACACAGCAGGAAAAATCTTATTTTTCTGTCTCAGTTTCTGGCAGGATGTCAAACCTTTGGCGTAGTTTGTCGAAATAATGATCCATTTTGTCAAAATATTGCTTTAGTATCTGAAAATCATGACTTAGAATTCATTATTTTGTCGAGATTTTGAGTTATTGAGGCATAATGTATTATTAAATTTGATAAGTAATTATTTCAACGTAGTAAGTAAATTTTCTGAGAAAATAAGTCTTTATTTTGACATAGTAAGCTAATATTTAGAGTCAATAAATCATTATTTCGACAAAGTAAGTCATAATTTAGAGAAAATAAGTCATTATTTTAACATAGTCAGCCAATATTTAGGAAAAAAAATAGTATTGTCATTGTCATAGTAAGTCAAAATGTGGTCCTTAATTTGACATATTAAACCAAAATTTAGAGAAATGAGTCATTATGTCTACATAGTAAGTTAACTAAGTTATTTTGAGAAAATAAGTAATTATTTCGACATAGTCAGTTAATATTTTGAGAAAATAAGTCTTTATTTTGACATAGAAAGCCAATGCTGCCAATGAGTTTTGACATGGTGACATTTAGAGAAAATAGGTCATTATATGGACAAAGTAAATCAATATTTTGATTAAATAAGTCTTCTGTTTTGACATAGTAAGTCAATATTTGGGGAAAATATGTTCTTTTTTAACGTAATAAGCCAATATTTAGAGAAAATAATTATTCTGACAGAGTAAGTCAAATGTTTGAGAGAGTAACTCCTTACTCACAATTTTGACTTATTATATCAAAATAATGACGATTTCTCTAGATATTAGCTTACCTAATATCTAGAGAAATCGTCATTATTTTGATATAGTAAGTCAAAATTGTGACACACTGCTGCCAGAAACAAAGAAGAAGAAAAAAACTCACGACTGTGATTTTGACCCTGTTTAAACAAAACCCTGTTTGCACAGACGCAGATGTATGTAAATATGTATGTGCATGTACAGTGATTATGAGCAGCATGTTCAGTGTGCAGGATTTGAATGAAAAGCCATTCTTTGACAGTTGCTTCACTTTTTACAGTGTGGTCTCAACCTTCATTTTAACCTTCTCCACATGTTCATACTGTTCTCCCCAGATCTGTGTAAATGGTTCTTAACCCCCTGAATGCCAGCAAGTGCGCTCAGCACTGGTTTTCTGTCCATCCACAGGCTCCCTCGCCCAACAGACTGACTCACAGCAGAAAGATAAGAATCAGAGCGACGGCCAGCCGCTAAACATAAGAGGTAGGTTCTCTGGACTTATCGTGCGTGCAGCTATCAGACAGAAAGCCCTGCAGCTATCAGACAGAAAGCCCTGCCTGATCACACAGCCTCACTCACCTCTACTGGTCAAAAGTTTGGGGACACCTTGCCTTTTTCACTGTTATGTTTCAGTGCAAAGGTTTTTTCAACATAAAACAGCTGAGTGTTGATACTGTATAATTCAGCACATAGATCCATGTTCATCAAGGTGTCTTGCTTGGTATGAAGAGTAAGGGAGAGCGAGAAACAAATTTTTTTGTTTGTTTTTGTTTTTTTACCAAATCATTCTTAACATTTTTGAGTTGAATATTATTAAATATTTGAGAAGAAAATGTGTAACGCTCTATAGAAGCAACATATACACTGACCAGCCATAACATTACAATAACCTCCTTGTTTCTGCGCTCATTGTCCATTTTATCAGCTCCACTTACTATATAGGTGCACTTTGTAGTTCTACAGTTACAGACCGTAGTCCATCTGTTTGCATACTTTGTTAGCCTGTTTTTCAATAGTCAGGACCCCCATGGACCCTCACAGAGCAGGTATTATTTGGGTGGTGGATCATTCTCAGCACTGCAGTGACACTGACATGGTGGTGGTGTGTTAGTGTGTGTTGTGCTGGTACGAGTGGATCAGACACTGTGCACTGTGCAGGATGCACTTTAGTTTGACTAGCTTTGCTGCAAGTTGTTTTTTTTTTTTTGATGCTTAGATCTAAACAGCTTTCTGTTTCACATGCTTAGTTACTGCAAACCTACAAAGACAGCATGAACATTAAAACAGTGAGGTGTCCCCAAACTTTTGATGGGAGGCTAGCACTGCACAAAGTGGACAAAATACCACGCGGTATGGACTGCTCTCATGGTTATTTATTATTTTATTATTTTAAGCTATGCATATCAAATAACTAAATCTTTCATAACAAGCTATAATTGATGCAGTTTATTAATGCATATGTAACTGTTACATAATCATGAAACGGCATTTACAACCTATTAGATAATGATTATGTTGCTGTTGATTAAGGCCTTTTATTGTGTGTTACAGTGTTTTGCATCAGTTCATTAGACTTTTTAGCAACTGTTGCAACCAGCCCTTCAGTCTGTTACAGTAAACCCAACATGTGGGGTAGGTTGTAATAGTTGTGCTCCCACTGCTTTTGGCTGAATTGTTCACAAACATTAGTTGCTGGAGAGAAAGTTTAACTTTTAAAAATTGACCTGCATTATTTTGACCAAAACGATCCACCATTGTTGGATCACAAGAATGCCTAGATGAATCAAAGTGGCCACAGAAACTCATCTAGAATATTTGAGGTTGGTCAGGATGCACATGATGAAAAGTTTTGTGATTTGTTAAAGGACTCTTATTTTGCATTTATTTGCATATATTATATTTCTTGCTGTATTAGTATTGCAAAAGTAAAAACAGTAACAACAGTGAACGGTATGTGCCTTATTTAGCTGCAGCGCAGAGATCTGATGGACGTCCTGGCTTTGCTGTGTTTATAGTTGATTACACTTGTTGCTCTTCCTCCCTCTACCTCACTCACCTCTCTTCCTCGCTCTCAGGAGTTTTACTCCACGTGCTGAACGATGCTTTGGGGTCAGTGGTTGTGGTGGTGGCCTCTGTTCTGTTTTATGTAAGGCCCTTGCCCGACAATGCCCCCTGTAACTGGCAGTGCTATGTGGACCCCAGCCTGACGCTGGCGATGGTGATCATCATCCTGTCCTCGGCCATTCCTCTCATGAAAGAGACCACTAGCATTCTTCTGCAGATGAGCCCACCTGACATGACTGTCTCCACAATATGTGAGTATGAAGGGCTAAAATAAGCAAACCTGTTGTTTTAGGGCTTTATTTATTCACACTTTAGAGCCTAATGACCAGGGCCAGAGGCAGTTAAAGGTGGAATAGGCAAGTGCCTGGGGCCTCCGTATTGCCAGGGGCCTCCACAACGCTGCTGTGACAAAAAGGTGTTGGTTTTATTATAGGATACGTTGGTTTGTTGTCACTGGTCAGAAAACCATCGATTCAAGCACTTGGCATTTTGCATGTCCCATCGAGACAATGTTTTATATACTTATGAATAAACAAGGGTACATGGTGTCTCACTTGTGAAGTGGTCAAACAACATAATCTTTATTCTGTATGTAGAATATTACAGAAAAGCACAGAAAAAGTTTGGACAGCACTCGTATAATTCATAAAATATTTATTAAATTCACAGGTCAAGCACAGACACAGCCTTCCTCAGCATGCTAATAGCATTCCAGCCCTCAGCCCAATAAATATATATAATGTTCTATATGAGCAACATATACACTGACCAGCCATAACATTAAAATCACCCCCTTGTTTCTACACTCATTGTCTAATTTACCAGTTTCATTGACCATATAGGAGCTCTTTGTAGTTCTACTTTGTAGTGCATACGTTGTTTGCCTGTTTTTCAATGGTCAGGACCCCCATGGACCCTCACAGAGCAGGTATTATTTGGGTGGTGGATCATTCTCAGCACTGCAGTGACACTGAAGTGGTGGTGGTGTGTTAGTGTGTGTTGTGCTGGCATGAGTGGATCAGACACTGTGTAAGTTCCATGAACCACCAGCTTAAGATACCACTGAGGCGAGTCACAAGTGCCAACAAGATCCATTACCAACCAATTTTTTCTATTTGTTTACTTCTTTGGATTCAGCACTTTACAGGTCCTTTTTGATGAGGAAAGTAGCCTCTTTACCTTTTTGCTAAACAACCAAGGGTTTCCTCTCTTTTCTTGGTCCACAAAAGAAAAAGAAAAACTTGAGAGCTAATAGCACCCACTTGTGGAGAAACTTCAGCTCCTAAATGTGTGTGAGTGAGTTACAGACCAGTTCAACAAGAAGCTATCTAAAAATGAGAAGTTTGGACATTTGTTTATTGCATGCTGTTACCATTCTACATTCTAGAACTTATTATACATAAAGGCTTATGTATAATAAAAGTCCCACTTAATCAAATACTCCCACTCAGCTGAACTCTTAGAAGACATAACTAATTACATAGCTAATTTACATTTATATTCAGTTTTCATTCTGCGTCGACAGAGTCAGCACTTCCATGTGTTTCAGTGACAAGAAATAAAAATGTGGCACAGATGTAGACTATAAGTTGTATTTTTTCTGCATAGACTGTGTGGAATAATGTTTCATCAAGTTTAAATCATAATAAAAATCTCCTCTTCTACTTGCAAAAACAAATGACTTTTCAATTTTCCTCTCTTTCTCCTTTCCATCCACACAGTGGTGGACGTGTGCCGGCTGCCTGGGGTCATCGGCGTGCATGAAGTTCACGTGTGGGAGTTGGTCAAGGATCGCAACGTAGCTACCTTGCACGTCAAAGTAAAATCTGAATTTCCTGAATCCCAGTTTAAGAGCCTCCACTCCCAGATCAGGGAGGTCTTCCACAAGGCCGGCATCCACAGCGTTACTGCTCAGCTGGAGGTCAGCGACGGTGAACTGGACAGCAGCCAGTGTAGCAACCCCTGCATGTCCCCCGACTGTCTCAAACTGTCCTGCTGCCCGGTAGAGTCTAAATTACTTTTAGGACATAAAGCGAGCCAGTCCCGCTCATCTGGAGAAGTGTCAGTGGACATGATGGACGGCACCAAAAACCTGCTCAGGGAACGGGACACTAAAAAGTTAGAAGGGAATCTCAGAATCTCAGATGTCACAAAGTTTTAAGCCTTGAGGGCTAGTTTCTCAGAACTTGACGACGCCTGTTCCTTGACTGTCCTCTCTTTGCTTTTCAGTCAAAGGATAAGGCTAACGTGGCTCTGAGAAGCTGGCCCAGAGTGTTTCAGATAAAAAGAAAAAGAAAAAAAAAAAACAGGCACCTCAGGGAGACGAGTAGAAGGGCCTCTGACTTGTGAGTGCAAAATTCAAACTACTGTATTTATTAACTTGCTGTGCTTGTACTTGATGCCCCCTGGACTTTGAGTAGTTGGGCTTTAGGCAATTGTAAATCTGTCCCTGCTGAACTCGGTGGAGATTGTAAGCAATGCTGACAGTGCTGGAATACAACTATATACATTCAGACTCCTAACCTTAAAGGGGAATTCCACTGATTTTTCAAATTTTGTGCATAATTACATTGTTAATTCATAAACAAAGTCATTTAGAGTGGTTTGGTGTGAAATGCTCTGTTCTAGAGAAACTTACTGGGTCAGAACTGTTCACAGTGGTGGTGATAGGAACCAGACGCCTGAGGAGTTTAATGCTTTAATGCCTCTCGCACAGAAAGTTAGTACACATTATTAATACACTGCCAGAACCTTGTTTTATGATACTTTTATGCTAAGCTTTTAGTCCTACAACACATGCAAGGTGTTCTAAGGCACAATAGTCCCCAAAGAAATCTTATTTTTCAGATTTTACACTTTTTTACCATAAATCAACATTCCATATAAAACTCGGAAGACACATGTAGGTTCACTGGCTTCAAAAACTGTCCGATTCAAAATATGAATCGGACAATTTCTCTATATCAAACCACTCTGAATGACTTTGTGTACATCTCATTGGTGGAATTACGCAGAAATGTTGAAAAATCTAATTCGTCTTTACATGTAAAGCTACTGTATGATTATGATAAATTTCTGTACCAATCTCTTAGTAGAGCTGGCTTTTTGAAGCCCAAATAAGGAATTGCCGTTCTAGCCGCAGCTCTGGGTTTATCAGCAGATGGTGAAATCGCCTGCATATTTTAGCTTTTGGTGAATGCAGTCTTGTTAGCATTGCTGCTTATATTGCTCAACCAAAAACTGGTCAAGCTTTGACCAGTGGCAGCAATTCCTGATTGAGGCTTTAAATAGGAAAGCCAGAAATGTTTATTCTGCTTTCTACATTAGTAGCTACATGGTTTGCCACATAAGAACAGGAATGGAACTTTTACCGTAAAAAAGTCACAGGCGAAATTTCCCAGACAGTGCCTACTACTATTAAGCAATGTTCATTTTTCTTAAAATGCAATCATTTTTTACTGGAAAATTCTTTTACCTTTATTTAAGCTAAGACCAATGTGGCATTGTATTTATATACTGATGATTATTAGTCTTTGGACCAGGAATAAGTACAATCACTAGGACTTGAAGATGGCTTTGATATTAGAATGTATTGTAAACATTAAAGTCTGTGTTGTTTGTGTAGCTCTGTAAGGTAAGAAAGTCAACCATATGACTAAAAGTATAAATGTAGCAAGAACAAAGTCCATGACTTACCAAATATGGCAGCAATTTGAAAAAAAAATGTGAAAATTTCATCTTTAAACAAACCAAGACACTCCATTTGTACACGCACAGGGTCATTTTAAGGATTGTCTATGGTTATTTACAGGTGAAATTTTGGTGATATTTTTCCTTATAAACAATAGACTTCAATTACTGTGTCACGTTTTGTCTTTTCTGAACTCTGACCTGATTACTTGTTAAGTTTGAGTGAACAGCTGTAAATTTCACTGTAAAATCAATTCAGATGTAGAATCAGTTATCGTTGTATTACCTGTTTGTAAATCACATCATATGCTCTTAAAAATAAAGCTAATATTAAAGATATCTGTTATTACTGTACATTCAGATTCACTTCTCTGAAACACCATTACTTCTTAAAAAACAAAGGTTCCTTCGAGCTTTAAATGGTTCTTTACACATTCTTCTTTCACTCCAAAGAGCTTGGCCCCCTCTCACACCATTATTTTTAAGAGCATATCTTACCATTATATCATGATTTATGAACAAGTTATACAACAAAAATTTATTTTACTTTCTGATATTCACTCAAACATAACATCATTTGTCTGATGCCATGCTCTACCTGTCCTTTGTTCACTGTCCTTCTCTGCCATCTAAGCATTGGCCCGATCTTCAGGAGATTCTGATTTCAGTCCCTGGAGATGCTACAGTCATTCGTGCTCAGGAGTGCAGCATCATTGTCCTCACTGTGTCAGGGGAGCTAGGATGGTTCTCTCTTTCCTCTCCATCACTCAGCGAGCCAACATGGGTGTCTGTCAGCTGATGTAATAGAATTAGTAGTTAGTGTTCTCCTCCAAGCATGTTGAGCTGCCCAGTGGCATTGTGTTAGCAGCAGTAGTGATTTATATGGCTCAGAGGAAGCAGGTGCTAACGCTCATCCTCCCAGCTTAGTAGAAAAGTAATGTTGAGGAAGGCCTAGGCCTTGGAGAAAAAGAGAAAAATATTTATAATTTTATATATATATATATATATATATATATATATATATATATATAATTATAAATATTTTTCTCTTTTTCTCCAAGGCCTAGGCCTTCCTCAACATTACTTTTCTACTATATATATATATATATATATATATATATATATATATATATATCACAGCCATAAGAAACGGGCCAAAATGACTTGGACGAAAATCTGGAATCTGGTTCTATTGACTTTAAAAGTTGACATTAAAAGTTAAGCAGGTTTTTTCCTTCCCCTGTAAAGTTACCATTTTGGAGATACAAGGTTTTCTTCCAACAGCGATACATATAAATACACATACACACACACACACACACACACATATATATATATATATATATATATATATGTGTATACTCCACACACACACATAGAGAGAGAGAGGTCCATATAACTTTTTTTGTCTCTGGCTGTTTCCATTGCTACACTGACTAAGGACTGTAGGTAGTGGAAGATTTTTTTTTACCCCAAACTGAGACGCC